CCCCCCCCCCCCCCCAACTTGTTTTTTGGGGGGGGGGGGGGGTTCAGGTATTTTTTGCTCTGAAGGAAAACACCAAGAAATGAGAAGGAAGGTGCCAGCCTCCCATCTGCTTTGCAATGATTTTGGGAATGACTGTTCCTGATTGTGCACAGCGAGTGCACGGAGTTAGGGAATGGAAGGACATTGTAGTCAGCTATGCCATATTAACACAGTTGGCAGATCTGCTTGAAGACTGATCAGAGTCTTAGAATTTCACAGTAATAAATAAACCACTATCATTATTTTTATATTTACAATGAAGTGTGGCGAGGAACAGCGCAGAGTTTATAAGAATGGGGATGCACTGTAAGTCCGTTCATAGGTTCTTGACTGAATTGTTTAACTCCTTTAGGCAGCTGGAACCTGAACTTCCTCAGCAGGTTGGTAAAGAAAATGAAAATCTCCATCCTCGCCATCTGCTCCCCTAAACACACACGAGCCCCTGAAAAGGAAATAGAGGACAGCAGCAAGTAAGAAACTAAATGATATATTATTCTAAGCAGTTGTCTCTATCACTTCTGAGTTTGACCTTAAGAAACATATGACAACTCTGGAGGCCACAAAAACAGGGCTCAGAAGAAGCTTTGCCAGCCTGCTTTGAAACAGCAGGATGTCTATCTATGCTCCTTTCAGAAGTTAGGGTTATAGTTAGAGTATAAACTACATTTACCTGCTCCAAATGGAAGAAATTCTTCTCTAGCCACAAAATTTCCATCTTTGTCCAAAAAATGATTGGGGTTAAATTTTTCAGGTGTCTCCCACTGCATGGGATCAAGAAGAACTGAACGGAGATCAGGGACAATTATAGACCCCTGAAAAGAAGAAACAACTGAATCAGAATGCTTCTAAAGCAATACTCCACTATTCTATTCTTAATGAAAATGTGTTTCAGGTATATGAATGAAATTATGGAACTGTATTACTTAGATCACATCCTGACCACCAGCCTTTCCACCTTCCAACCTTTCTGATTCCAGCATCACACATGCACAATGCTAATGCAAAAAGCTGTAGGCATTCTTAACTCTTTACAGATACCAGGGTTACCAATGGCCATAGACACATTTACATGCTTGCAAGCCTAGGGGTTCAGCTCACAGAGAATTACTAGCCAGTGTATGCCCTTTCTGGTCAATAGCTAAGTACTGAAGACTATCAGAAACGAAGACTATCACAGAGACTCATTTGGTCTGCCCCTACAACGCTCATGATGAAGCACATATCAATTTTCCTTTTTAAAAAAAATAAGAATAACCTTGTGAGCTGTTTCTGTGCTCACCCCCCACTACACCCCAAACTGTGAAGTCCTTGGTGCTCTCTGAGCTTGGCTGTTTGCTTGCAGACATTTCATTCCCCGACTAGGTAACATCTGTGCTAATGTGAGTGAGTGGGAGTTTGCTCTCTGTTTACATACAGAGAGCAAACT